TTTGACAGAGAGAGATCACAAGTAGGCAGAGAGGCAGGCAGAGAGAGAGGGGGGAGCAGGCTCCCTGCTGAGCAGAGAGCCCGATGCTGGGCTTGAGCCCAGGACCCTGAGATCATGACCTGAGCTAAAGGCAGAGGCTTAACCCACTAAGCCACCCAGGCGCCCCTGCATGACTGTTTTTATAAGTAAAGCTTTATTGGAACACAGCCACATCACTACATTTGTATGTTGTATTTGGCTGCCTTCTCCCTGTAGTGGCTGAGTTATGTAGTTGTGACCAAGACCATATGGCCAGTGACACCTTACATATGTACTATCTGACCCTTAGCACTAAAGTCTGCCTCCCCCACCTGGATACTGCTGTTGACACAGCAGATGCGTGTAGCTTTGTATGTTATTATGGGAGTTATAGAAGGTAATGGGAAGTGCTTGGAGCTGTGCCTGGGAATATCCACCTGCTCCCAAAATGCTAATTACTTTTTCTTTTCATTTGTTAATGGAGTAAATTCCACTAATAAATTTTGTAATTATACTGTCCTTCTATTCCTGCAACAAATCCAACATGATCATGATGTTTCATGTAATATTATTAGCAAACACTTAATTTAAGAAGATTAAGTTCTCTGTGTATGATTGACTGTAACCCATGGGTTAGCAGGTGTGTTTGTCCTGTGTTGGGTTTGGGCTTCTGCTCGTCTGACCTGAGTGGTAAAGCTGACCTATACTCTCACACCCTGACAACCTTCTGCCTTTTCTAAGCTGAAACACCGTCTGTAACACAGGAATGTTCTTTTCCTTGGCCATCGGGCAGTGCTCACGCCCAAAACTGTGCCCTTCACACCCGTGATGAGGACAGACCATTAGCCACCTTCCCAATATCTTCAAGGTTGGGGCTCTTGCATCTTCTTACTGGAATGTTGATCACTTCACTTTCCTAGAAAGGCATTACCTCACCTACATCTTAAAATCTATTAATGTGTTTCTTAAATGGTGTTTCCCTTTAATTTTCAATGTTGTTTCTTATCTGTGTTTATGCCTTGATCTTCATTCCTAACGACAATTATGTAGAACTTCAACTTTTTATTCAGACCTCAGTGTTTTGCTTTTGATTGGTCTATTTTTATTTAAATCAACTTTTGATTTTGCTGGCTAATCTTATTTATTGTCATCTGTGCACAGAAGTCAGGACTACGTCTGACCGCAGTGAGCCTACAGCTTGGCCGTCACAGGCTGAAGCAGGTGGGTTCTTGCTCTGGAACAGGAAGTCAGGTGACGGCAGTGGCTGGGTCGGGCGTCTGCTCAGCGCGGTCCCCGGGCTCCCGGGCTGCCCCATCTTTCTGCTCCACCGTCCTGGGCATGGGGTCTTGTCCTCCTGCTTCGTCCTCATGGTCCCGGACGGCTCTGTCTGCAGACACCAGCCCACACGGAAGATGGCCAACGAGAGAAGGACGAAGGCCAAAGTCTCTGTTGTCGTGAGGCTCTGTCTCTGCAGGACTGAAGACCCTTCCTCCCTGTGTTCCCCTCCCTCGCGGTCAGCCCTGGGGCAGCTCTAGGAAGACTGGACGTCATCCCCGACCTCTCTAGAGTGTGAGCAGGCGAGGCAAGGACAGACAGGGCTGCAGGGCTGATTGTGCAGGCAGTCGTGTGCCAGGCTGGCCAGGGGCTGTCCTTGTCAGGGTGACGCGGGCTCCTGCCTTCCCTCTCGTCTGTGGGGGCCTGTCGCGCAGAGGGAAGAACTCCTCTGCAGGAAGCGTGCATTGGGTCATTGACCCCGGGAATTCCAGCTGTGTTTTGGTTTGGATTTTCTGGTTCGCTTTCTGACGTTTCTCCATCTCCAGGCTCTATGCTGAGGACCATAGGAATTTAAACTCTCCGTGTGGGGCCGGTTAGTGTTTTCTTTCTGAACCTGGATTCAGTCTGTGTGACTGTTGTCACACCTGCCATCACGTTGCTGACATGTCCCCTGTGGGTGGCTTTCTGTCTCTGTCTCTTCAATCTCTCTGTCATAGGTGATGGGACGAGCACACAGCAGCAGGAGCGGAGTGGGAGTCTTGGGTGTGTCATAGGGGGGCGTCATGCCCGCAGATGTTGTTCAGGCTTACCCAGATGCAGCTTCTCCTGTCCCCTCCTAATCTTGATTCACCATCATTTATATCTTCTTTTTGCCTTTCGTTGAATTGGTAGAGTTTTCATCCACCCAAACATCTCTAGTATTTTGGAAGTTATAACCCCTTGTACTCTCATCCTAGTGGATACTTAACTTAAATATTTACTTCGACATTTAACGTTCATCAGTATTTCTCTTTAAATAAAACAAGAACTTCTAACATGTTTCCCTCTTGTATTCTCAACCCCTTTCACATTGTGTTTATTATATCCTTGAGAAGAGATACAATTATTATCATAAGTATAATCATCATGTGTATATATAATTATAGAGTTATTGGGGCACCTGGGTGGCTCAGTCGGTTAAGCTTCTGATTCTTGATCTCTGCTCGGGTTATGATCTCATGGTCGTGCGACTGAGACCCGCCTCCGTCTCCGTGCTCAGCATGGGGTCTGTTTGAGATCCTTCTCCTCGCTTGTGCTCACCCACTTTCTCTCTCAAATAAATAAATAAATAAAGTAGATTTTTTTTTTAAAAAGAATTCTATCCATCATGATTATTGGATTACGTAGACATAGATGAGCTCAGGGCTCATCTGAGAGATGAGGGCCTCCGCTCTCTGCCCTGGGCTGGGAGTCAGAACCCCCAGGCCAGGGGCACTAGGTCCCTTCCCCAGGCCCATAGTTAGGAACCCCCTGGAGCTGGGTCATCTGGTGAATGTGCTGGTTTCCTTGTGTGTCCTCCAATGCTGACTCTCAGTTTCTCTTTTGTCTCCTTCTACGTCAGAGCCCATCCCCCACCCCCAGATTGTGATTCATTCATCCTCCTACCAGGCAGGCTGGTGCAATGTCAGTCTGGAGTGTGGGACCCCAGGAGCCACAGAGATCTGGACAGTGACCTGGCTGAGTGAGGGGCTCCCCAGGGAGCTGGAGGAGAGAGAGGCTCTGGGGCCAGTCCCCAGCTCCAGGAATCTAAGCCTGAGCCTGCCCCTGAGCCAGCTGAATGGCCCCCTCACCTGTAGGGTCAGCAACCCTGTGGACGAGAAGAATGCAACCTTATTCCTGCAGAACATCTGTCTGTGGACGGGTGAGTGGGATCTGCTGGGAAGTGCTGGCAGAGAACAGGGCAGGGGCAGGACTGTGGGAACTCAGGGAAATCGATGGGACAGAGGAGCACTGGAAGGGGGTCTCTGTGGAGCAACTAGAGACAGATACATGACCACACCTTCATTCTAGAACTTAAACCTACCTGGAGACTGGTGAGTCTCCCAGAATGTACCTGTGGGGCTCATGTGTGCACCCCTTTCCAGCATCAGGGAGCCTGGGACGCTGACCTAGTTAGCAGAATGCAGGCAGGGGAGGGGAAGAACTTGAAGAGGACAGACCAAGGACCCTGAGGGCTCCCCGCCCCCAGCCCTGAAATCTCAAGTTCCAGGACCCTGTTTGGTCTGGACGCTCATAGCCCTTTCGTGGTTATAAATGCTGTTTTTTTGCTGTGTGGTTTTTCTGAGGATGGTTACCACCTCTGAGTTCATAAGCCACAGTTCAACTGTCCTCTGACCCGTGTGAGCCCCTGTGGTCATCACACTTCCATGTCAGCTTCAGGGAACCCCTTGGCCATGCAGAAAGGGAGTATATACAGTGGTGCATGGTAGGTGAGGGGGAGCCCTGATCCCATAAAATACCAAATCCCCTACTTTCCCGGAGCCACAGAGCAGGAACAAAGGATGTGAAGAAGGAGGTTAATAATTGGTGTGGCTGTCCTGTCCCACCAGCGTCCTCCTGAGCTCCAGTGCCCCCACGGTGCCTCCCTGCCATGTCCTTACTCAGCCACCCAGCGTGGAAACCTACACCGGGGCTGAGTGCTCACTGCGTACGGGGAGGAGGGAAGATGCCGGTGACAGTAAGACAAGTCTCCACCAAGGGAACTTCCAGCGCCGTGGGTGGGGGCCCCGCCACTTCCTGGCTGTGTGACTCCGGATAAGTCACTTAATTTCTGGAGCCTTTCTTTGAGACAGGTGTTAGTTATTCCAATTCATAGGGTCGTTTAAGCTATCAGCACAGCGTGTGACACGGAGCTCATCAGTGAGTATCAGGTAATAGTTCATGGGCGAGGAGCGGTCTGTTTGCCGACAGGAAGCCGCGTGACGGCCGCAGAAGTTGAGGCAAATATAAGCTCTATGGTTCCCCTACGAAGGGAAGAAAACCCCTGAGTAGTTGCCGCAGGACTCGGGAAAGGCGTCGCAGAGAAGGGAACACCCGAGCTGGACCTTGAAGCGGGAGCCGTTTTCGTGTGGCGGGCAGACCACAAGGCAAAACATGGGCTGACGTCAGGCGGCCCCGGAACCTCCCATCGCCTCCCCCTCCTAGGCTGGTCCTCGCCTGGGAGTCTGCCGGGGGGAGAACAGGGCCAGGCTGCAGGCAAGGGTGGCACCTGCGGTGGCTGGGAGCCTCTGAGGTCTCTGGGCAGAAGTGGCAGACAGTCTGGCACGAGGCCCCCGGCCGGCGGGCAGGAACCTGTTGGGGTTGCAGCAAGGACGCGCACTTGGGACACGGGCCCCGAGCCATGGGGTCCTGCCTCCCCCCTCACCTGCCTCATGGGCCCCATAGGGATGCACCTGACACTGGCCTTTGGTGGCAGGTTCTCAGAGCAAGTGGCTTTGGAGAGGTGTCTTGTTCACAGTTCTGATGCTGAGCCTGGTCTGCGGAGTGTGCATCTGGGTGAGGAAGAAGATACAGTCCCGGAGGGGTAGGTGCTAGTGAGAGCCTGAGGGGAGCTCTGGGAGAGGGCAGTGGATGGAGGGGATCCCCGGGAGGGGCCGGGCTGGCAGACGGGGCTTACTGACCTCGCCTCGCCTTGCCTGTGAATCATCTGGGTAGAAGGCTGGGACCGCACGGCACCGAGGGTAAGGGCTGTGTGCACGCCCAGATGGGAGGGGGATGGACGGCAGGGATGGGCAGGGAGCGATGGCCGCCCTACCCTGGGGCTGGCGAGGGGTCACTTCAATCCCACACGCTCTCACTGTGCGTGCTGTGTACAGGGAGGTCCACTCTGCTGCCTACAGAGCTGGGCTCAGCAGCGGTTCCCCAGGCCCCGCCCACAGAGGAACCTGCTGGCATGCGGACTGCGGGGGCCCACAGCCACAGTCCTCCTGACGTGGAGATCAGCCTCCTGAGACACCCCAAGGTGGGTCCAAGGAAACTGAACCTGGTCCACCAACTGGTGCTCAGAGGCTCTGAGTGCTGGTCGGTCCAGGGGACCTGGCGGCGCTTCAGGCTCTGGTCCGGTCCTTGCTGTGGACGCTATGGTTGCTGTGTCTGGAACAGCGAGTGAAGGGTGGAGGCCACCGACGGGGGCGATGCCTCGCTCATATGCACACAATCTCATCGGGTCCTCGCCACCCCCTGGGGAGGAGGGTTGGCGGAGCAGGAGCGGGAAGGAGGCAGGCCCGGTTAGGTGTATGACTGACCCGAGGGCACACAGCTTGGCAGGGGAAGCAGCAGGAGAGAACCCAGGCTGCTCCGGAGGGGCTCACCATGTACAGGCTCAGACTCAAGCCCTGGGGAGAGGCAGGGGGGTAAGTGGTTGCCTGTCAGGTGGGACCTGCCATCCGTAGAAGACCCAAAGCAAGCAGGAGTGGGGTCCACTAGCAGGGCCTGGAGGCAGGGGAGACCCAAGGTTCTGAGGAGCATCAAAAAAGCCCCTTCCCCTCCCCCCACACGGTATCCATCCCCCTCCCTGCCTGAGATCCTGTGATTAATGTCTCCTTTTGGGGTAAAGGCTTTGTTGCCCTGCCGTGAGTCGCCCCTGGGACAACATCTCACGTGTTACCAGCCCCCGGTTAGAAATGGTCACAGATGGCCTGATTCCAGGACGGGAAGGCCTGGAGACCCGAGGGAGGAGGCCCCTAGAGGCCCACCCTGGAAGCAGCGTGTTCTCATACTGAGCTCGCATCAGAAACACAAGGAGGGCTTGCCAACCCCCCCAGCACCTTGTTTCAGTGGGTCCAGGGCAGACCAGAGACCTTGCATTTTGAACACGTTCCCAAGTGATGGCCCCACCCTTTGGAAACCACTGGACTAAAATTGAACAGAAAGAAAGCAAGGAGAGGCACCGTCTGGACTCCTAGGAGCCGCCAGTGGCCGGGTCCTCTCCTCTCTCATCCTTTGATTTTGCCAAAGGGAGACACCTCTGGATCATTGACCCACACAGACCATCAGGACCTTAGAAATCCCCTGGTCCTGTCCCAGCAGTTCATGGCGGGGGGAAAATGGGATCCAGAAGGAACACGAAGAAGGACATGGACGGGAAACCATGGTGGTACCAGGTAGAACGGGGCCTCTTTGTTTCCAGTTGAGTGTGCTTTGCCCTGTCTGCAACTGTCTTGGGACCGCTACACTGCAGCTTTCCATCTCATCCCCTCTGAGCTATGTTCCCATCTGACATGGGCCACAGGGGCTCAGGAAGTAGTTCCTTGAGACCCAAATCCCAGTATTCCCACCGGAGAAGCACGGGAGGGGGGCAATGTGTGGTTTGGGATAGAGAAACAAATCAGGTGACCTCTAACCCAGAGCCCCAGCCTTGCCTCCTCAGTCTCTCTGCCCCTGGGGAGCTTTCCAGCCTGATGAAGAAAACTCTTTTCCTCCCAGGACACAGGGAGGAAAGCAGGGAAGAGAGATGACGGTGGCATGAAGGAGCATAGGATCAGAGTCGGGAGAAGGGGGCGTGAGGCTGCCATGCTGACTCTTCTCCATCAGCCTTACAGAACTACTGCCTGGGCTGTTTCTTCTTTTATAAAATACAGATTGCGGGAATAATACCTTTATCTGCTGCTTTGCAGTTTTTCAAAGCACTTTTGCAATGAGAGTTGCCAAAGTGAGCTGCAAATTTGCCCAACTAGTATTTAGTGAGTGTCTACTCTATCCCAGAACCGTTCTGATCAGGAACACAGAGGTCAACAAAACAACAAAAAATCCTTGGCCTCAGAGAACACACATTCTAGGTTGGGGGAAGGGAGAATGGCAAATAAAATAAATAAGCAAAATGTGAAGTCTTAGGTGATGATGCGTGCTCAGGGAAAATGTGGCAGGAAGAGGGCGGGGTGTGCTATTAACTAAGGCAGTCAGGGAAGGGAGACCAGAAAGTGAGCAAAGAAGGGGTCTGATGGGGGAAGGGGAAGGGAGGGGTAGCACCAAAGGGAGAGGACAGAGACGCTGCAGTGTTCAAGAGGGAGGTCTGCGTGAAGCTACGTTTTAGGGTTACAGGGGTTGAGTCAAGAAGCGCACGAAGCAGAGTGAGCTGACTGACCTCTGTGCCTGGTTCTTTGACGTTGACACGAGCACCCTTAAACTCTGCTTGAATCACAGAATGACATGGAGAGGGACAGCTGCCATCCTCCTAAGCCTGAGTGCAGCCCAACCGTCTACACTGTCTACGAGAAGGTCCGGATGAGCCGAATGTCCCAGAAGGACACCTAGGTTAATGAAGACATCGGGGTATGAGGGGCCTTGGCAAGACCTGCCCCACCCTACACTCCACCCAGGGTCCCAGAAATCCCTCCTTAGGTAGAGCTAGGACAAGACCCCACGTCTTCCTGATGTGCTCCCCCACCCCAAGATGGCAGAGCAGCACCACGTGCCCCAGGGCTCCTCACCAAGGTCTTCTCACCTCACGGGTGGTGAGCTTTGACCACGTCGCTTGAGCATCCAGCAAGACAGGCTGATTCTTGGGCGGGCGGTCAGGTTTCTGACCTGTGACCCACTGACCCCCGTGAGGGAACGCCCGTAGTCAGCCAGGACCCGAGGACGCGTCTCTGGGAACAGAGATGCTTTCCCAGAATTGGGCGGGCCTTGGATGGAAGATTTCCAGGATGTCACTGCCCAGCCCACCCCCACGAACAGAAGAGGGATGGCCTGGATGTAGAAAAGCAAGAGCTGCTCAGATAAAGTTCAGGGTCAGCTTCAGCACGGAGGGAGGGGCAGAAAGGAAGGAAATAATTTTTGAGCTCCATCACCTGCAGGCTTATAGTAAGCACCAGAAATGCACTAGCTCCAGATCTCTCAAAATTCAAGCAATTTATCAACCCTGTTAAAAAAATTACCTAATGTACATAAATTGGAAGAAAGTCAAAGGCACGCCTCCTTGAATTTATATTTCATCAGTTGCAAATGGGATCCTGTTCCTGTTGTACCTCCTAATTAGTTGTTACAATAATGCATACACAACACGTATTGCCACACCGCTAAGTTTCTCTACTGTTTGAAATAGTTTTTCGTTCGATCCCTTCGAATTTCTGGGCAAAGAACCATATTAATGACAAATAATTAGAATTTTTCCTTCTTTCTTTCCGATTTTTACGCTTTATTCCTCTCCTGTGTCTTGATGCTGGTGAACACCCCCCAGTGTTTAATAAGAGTGATTCCGAAGCTCATCCTTTTGTTCCGAACTTATTGCAAGAGGTTCAAGGGTGTCCCTGTTAAGCATGATGTTTATTGTAAGGCATTTAAGGCATGTCTAAAAAGTATGTTCTTAGTGCTACTTTATCAAGAATTTTGCCATGAAGAAAATGTTAGAGTTTATTCTTTCCCTTTTATCATCCATGATGATGTTATCCGGTTTTCCTGTTTTTTCCTCTGTGAATAATACATTAATAGATTTCCTCCTATTGAACTGTTCTTATGCTACTGGAATACATCCCAGTTGCTGTATTATTTTCTTAATGTGCTACTGTCTGATAATATTTTCATTTGGGATTTTACATCATTATTCATAAACGAAATTGTCCTGTGTTTTCTGTGGTTTACTTTGTTAGTTTGGTATTTGTATTATGCTTATTAGGGGTTCCTTCTATCTCCACTTCTTGTAATAATTCAGTAAAAATTTGCTTTGTAGTCCCAAAAAAGAGTCCTTAAAAAAAAAATTCTTGGGGGTCCTGAGTGGCTCAGTTGGTTGAGTGTCTGCTTAGGTCATGATCTCAGAGTCCCAGGATCAAACAAGTCAGAATCTAGCTCCCCGATCAGTGGGGTGTTTGCTTCTTCCTCTACCTCTGCCCCTCCCCCCAACTCACGCTCTCTCTCACTCTCTCTCAAATAAATAAATCTTAAAAAAATTAAAAAAGAATTCCCATTACCTAGTATCAATTTAAATTACTTTTATTGTAAATTAAAGATCTGTAAGTATGCAACTATGTAAAAATGTCTTGTGCTTATAGTTTTTATATTATAAACTCAAAAATATGTATAAAGTAGTTAAAAACAAAGCAACAAAATAACAAGCAATGGTTATGCAAACTAGTACTCAAACCCACAACTTTAATGTTACATGATGGGTGTTTTTGTTTTGCTACAATGATATCATTAATATTAGGATTATAGGAAAACACTTTAGCTTCACATCCGCCTCTATATTTAATTTTTAATACTTGAATACAAACAATGCTATCTCATATGGGTTTGTTGTATAACACTGGATTAAAGTCTTTGTTTATGAGTTCAAGCTGGTCAATGTCATCCTTTAACCAAAACTCCACCAGGCGACAATGGATAGGTCTGTAAATCGTTTCATTCACCTTAAAAAAAAAATTAGCACTGCAGCACTGATAAAATCCCCACCTCCTACCTACCTCTCTCCTTACTCCTGGAATCACAGAACAAAAAGTTTTTTCACTGAGTATTTGCTGCCACAGTGGGTGTTTACTACACTCCTGCTAATGACCTTCTGTAAGGGGTGCCGCAAAGACAGACTTCTGTCCCTGTTTGTACATCAGATTGGCCCCAGGCGGCCACAGAGCGGGAACTTTGGATATGACCTGCCTGTCTGAGAGGTGTTGTGGGGCAGAAGTGGGTCAGTCTGCTGGGCGCTGATTCCGTGAATGATCGAGTCACCAAAATGGTCAAATCTACCTTTCTACCAGAAACTTCTTTCTTTTAGCTATGTATAAAGCTTAACACCTTTTATAGTGGATAGAAGAGTTTAAACAGCTTTTGAAGGTTTCTGTAGTTCTAGTAAACGGGTTTCCATTCTTTCTCCGAGGAGCTCCCTAAGCAAGGGTGGATGTTTCCCTACCTGGATCCCTGTAGGCGAAGGAGAAGTCAGTGCGCGGACGGCCTGGATTGGTGTACCCTGCATTGGGGAGGCTGGGGGACACAGAAGGACCCTGAGGCCAGGGAGGACATCTGAAGCCAGAACCCTGGAGTTCTCACTGGCTCTCTTAATCTGTCAATTCAAATCACCATAGACTTTATCAATAATTGATGAAAATGAATATTTGATAAGTTTAGCAAATTCAGCAAATAGCATGTTCAATGATTTGCTCATTTAGGAGTAAATTGGTTCTAGATGAATTGACCTTTGGGCAAGTTGTTGTGAACCTTACAGCTTAATGGAGAAGACATGAGGTTTGGGGCTGAGCTGCCTGTGTGGAAACCTCACACACTTCCTGGCTGTCTACCCCTGGGCAGGGACCTGGCTTCCGTGGGGCTCTGTCTCCTCATGCAGAAAAGCGGATCATCAAAGGCCTTCCTGCACAGACCTGTGGTAAGAGTCACTTGTGAACACCTTCCTGGTGCTCAGAGAGTGCTGGCACGGCGAGGGCTCTGTATGGGCTCCTGGTGCCCCCTTCCTGCACCTGGTGATGGCCCTTCCCCCACCCATCTGTCTAAGTGAACCACAAAGAACCCTTTGGGACCACGTTCTGCCCGCAGCTTCACTGGGTCCTTCTGTGAGATGCTCCAGCATTAAAGCAAATCCGGCCCCTGGGAGCACCTTTGCTATAAGGTGGCTGCCTGCAGGATCCAGGAATGTACAGATTCATGTACAGACTATCTGAGCAAGAGCATGAGATAAAAATGTTCTCCCAGCCCACTCTAGCCCCTGACGACAGAGCACACCAGTTTGAGATCTACCATTCTAGGAGCCGCAGAGCCACACAGGAAAGGCAGCAGACAGAGGAGCAAGGGTGGGGGAGGAGGGAGGCCAAGCCCATGAACCACAAGGACGACAGGCCACGTCATTGGCCCAGGCTGATAGGGGGAAGCGGGGGAGGAGAGAGAAGGAACAGAAGCCCAGAGGGCCTTCCGCATGGGACCTCATGGGCGGGAATACCCTCCTCAGTGGAGACGGTTTCTCTGTGGCTTTCCCAGAGCTGGGCAGCTAGAGCACACAGGGTCCTGGCCAGCTCGAGCACCCCTCCTACCCTTCCAGGCAGCTGTGAGATGGGCACAGAGCACACACCATCCTGTCTGGTTCTCTAACTCCCATGCTGAAAGCTCCATGGCCAGAAGACAACATCACAAGGAATCCAGATACACATGTTCGTTAAGCAAAATGAACAGAAGTCTCCCAAAGACACGAAAGCAGAAAAAAGAAAAGAAAAAAACCTAACAGGAGACCTACACACAGATGGGGGCTTCCCAAATTTAAGAAAGAAACAACCATTCCCCAAAGACTGACTGAAGCCAGAGATGAAAGTTGAACAAAGACATTGGAGTGTGATGGGGAGGGGGAGGGCTAAGAGAATAATTGGGGAGAAAGTGGTTCTTTGGCAGAATTTAAGAATGCAAAGAACAGAATCCAATCTGCAAGACAAGAAGGCAGGTGGTGATGTGGAGGAAGGGAAGAGGAAAGCACGTAGAATGGAGAAGAGCAGTATGGGCTGGCAGCGGAGACGAGACAGAAAACTTGGTCCCCGGAGAAGAAAGAGGAGGAATGTCTTCCCCACCATCCATCCCCTCCCTGGGAGCCACTGTTCTCACCAACAGAACCTGCGCGGCGCAGCAGCTGTCCCGGAACCACAGTGCACATGGGACCCTATTCTGGCAGGCGATGAGGAAGGGAGGCTCATTGGGGGCGTCTGAGAAGGACTTCCATCCCTACAGGAGGAAGAAGGGAGGCGAGATGCCCTTGCTCCTGCTGCCCACGGGCTCTTAACCTCTTAACAGCTGGGTGACAGTGTGAAGGTGGAAACCCACGGAGCCCTCTCTGAGCAGCGGGGAGGCTGGGAGGGGGCCAAGGCTGAGCCGGAGCCCTGGCATTGCTGAGCACTGATCCAAACCCAGCCCAGTTTCTCTCTGCCTTAGGAATTACTGGGGAGCCGCGAAGGTGGCGAGGGTGGCGTTACAGACCTGGGAAGGAGCAGTGCGTCCACAGGTGAAGCGACAAGGAGCGGTCGAGGAGCTGTTTGCGGAGTTGGTTTGCTGGTTTGGTTCTTCTTGCTGAGTAACAGAGTGCAAAGGAGTGGTTGGAAACTAAGTCACATGTGGGCAATGAGATCAGGTTTGGGACTTCTTGTTCAAGATGTTCATGAGCCATGTAAATGCACGTGTCTTCTCCCATTCCCCAGAACCTTAAAACTATAGTAAGTTTAGGTGTCTAAATCACAACATCAAAGAGAGGCGGGGTGGTAACGGCAGCAGAAGGAAAGGGCTGCCTGGGTCTGCGGAGACCACGAAAATCCCTGGGGTAGTGCCCAGGAAAGAGTTAATGACCCATCATGGTAAGTCCATGATGCAGCCGGTTCCAGGACACCCACCTGGAACACATACGCGGGGCCCAGCAGAGGCTGAAGCCGCCTTCAGGAGTGGGGGGACTCGGATCTCAGAGAGGCTACAGACGATGGAGAGGGGTTCTTGGGGTTGACGCAAGGGCGATGCTGGGGGTCTGAGCATGAAATAACTCCCAGCCCACTGCCCAGCTCCAGGAATGGAGCGTCCCAGAGCCAGGCCTTACCTTCTGCGCCATCAACAAAGGAGTGCTCTTCTCAAACACCCGAAAATACCCTACAGAGAGCTCGGGCCGCTGGTGCGCTCGCTGGAGCCTTGGGCAAGCGTCCTCATTCTGACACGGGGGGAGGTGTTCCGGGATAATGGCCCGCTCCCTGCCCCCACCCCAAGGTGGAGCCTGAGGACCCACAGGGCTACTGAGCTCTTTTTGAAATCTAAGAGGAAAACCAAGGATCCCCACACAGGCGAGAAACGCCAGCAGCGCAGGGACCGCTGCAACCACTGGCAGCGGCCGAGGCGTGTTCAAGGGAGTCATTCCGAGCTGTGTCCGCTGGAAAGCGCCATCAGTAACCTCAGAAGCATGACCTGGAGGCACAGGAGTAACCCGAGACTACAGCGACCGCCAACCACAGGCCGGGTTGCCTCTGGGAGGGGAGCTGGGGCCGGCAGGAGACGGAGGGCGTCCACGTGTACCGTGTGATGTGTAGGACTCGATGCACTGTGCATTAGCGCTCCGACTCAGCACGTGTTGTTGTTGTTGTTGTTTTAAGATTTTATTTATTTGACAGAGATCACAAGTGGGGGGGGGGGGCAAGAAGCAGGCTCCCTGCTGAGCAGAGAGCCCCATGGGGGGCTGGATCCCAGGACCCTGAGATCATGACCTGAGCCCAAGGCAGAGGCTTAACCCATGGAGCCACCCAGGCACCCAGTAGCACGTATATTTGATTATATGCATGTGCTTGTGCACTAAACTCGGATATTGGGTTGTGCCCGTGCA